TTGGTAGAATAAACTGCATGTATGTAAATGTCTAACCTGTATATTGTCATCCAGGGGCGAAGGAAGTGAATGCCAGTGGAAAGACATTCACAGTCAGGAGCTCTCTGCAGTTGCAAGTGGACCGGAATGATGATGGTGTGGCCTACACCTGCAGAGTGGACCATGTGGCTTTGCCGTCCACCCCACAGCAGGCCACTGAAGTTCTGGAGGTGCACTGTGAGTACCACACCAAGAACTATACAGACTATCACTCCTTAGGCTCCAGCAAGGCTCTAGAACCCATGTGTCAAACACAAGACCCGCGGGCCAAGTCAGGCCTGTGTCACAGTCCTATTTGACTTGTGAAATTATTTTCCTATTTGAATTGTGAAATTTTCTATTCTTACTAGCCTGTTTCACCCTGAGACTCACTACAGTCCCCAGCTTGCACTGCAACACATTGTGCATTCTGACCCCCTTTCCCCAACAACAATCTCTGGGGCAGCGGTTACACAAAAAGATGCCTTAGAATTATTTTTGAAGTATTAAATTTTCCTATTTTGCTGTTGCAGTTTTGGCATATTTTAAATAAAGAAAGGCCTGTTTGGGTTGTGGCAAAATGTTCAGTAAAAATGAAATAAAAACAGAGCTGGCCCACAAATTTGCTGAGATTTTTTAATATGGCCCTTATAGTGGCTGAGTTTGACACCCCTGATATAGAACATTTTATTTTCTGTTTCTTTTTTACAACCCCATTTCCAAAAAAGTTGGGACGCTGTGCAGAATATAAATAAAAATAGTTTTAACTTGCATTTGTGGATGCAGTGATGAACTTTCACAGACTTTCACAGAGTGGTGAACCCCTCTTCATCTTTACATCTGAAAGACTCGGCCTCTCTGAGATGCTCTTTTTGAACCCAATCATGTTACTGACCTGTTGCCAATAAACCATGTATTTTTTTAGTATTACACAACTTTACCAGTCTTTTGTTGCCCCTGTCCCAGCTTTTTTGGAATGTTTTGTTGGCATCAAATTCTAAATGGGTAAATATTTTTCAAAAAACAATAAAATTTCTCAGTTTCGACATTTCATTTTGTTGTCTTTGTACCATTTTCAATTAAATATAGGGTGTTAATGATTCTCACATCATTGAATTTTGTTTTATTTACATTTTGCACAGAGTCCCAACTTTTTTGGAAATGAGGTTGTATTTCATTATTTTCCATTCCCCTGTAAATTTCAGATTTGTTCGGTTTTCAGCTTTTTTATTTTCAAATCCTTGGTTTTAGCTTGCGTAATTAAACTTCCCAAAACCATCATGTACTGGAAAATATTGTTACACTTTAGAATCAACAAAGAGCTAAAATATTTCTCACCATGTATTAAGCAGTGAAGCGTGTTATTATTTTGTATTTTGATTTATTTATTTTGTATATTATTTATTTATTCATCTTATTTTGCTTGATTTCTTTTTCCACTTGACCTATCCATGCTCCAAACATTCTTTCATGGCAAATGTTGCTACATTGGAGAAGCTGGCATTTACACTGTTAGGACAGTGTAACATTTGCACTGTTTGGACAGTGTAACATTTACACTGTTAGGACAGTGTAACATTTACACTGTTAGGACAGTGTAACAGTTTCTTTTGTTGTGTAATCAAATGTTAGCAATTTAGCATGGTGGTCACTGAAATCTGATAAGTTTTGATTAGTTTCAACAATACAGCTCAGCTGTTATGTAAAAAATATAAATGCCAATCTGCAATAAGATGGCAGTAAACTTCAAATGACGCACAAACTAAATGAATCCAAACTTCCACCAAACAAGCTGTTGTAGATGTACATAAAAAGAATTTGGTTTCAGCACTGCTAGAGGCTCACTTTGTGTAGTGGACCAATCACAGTCAGGGGGAAGTCTCAGAACAAATGTAGGGTTCATTTGCAAAAAAATTATAAATGCTGTGTTGTTCAGCGAATCAGCACACAGTGTTTGGATCAAGTGACACAACACTGATGTAAACTGTTTTAGGCAGAATCTCAAATGGCTCCCTTCACCCTGCAAAGTGCAGTATGTAGGTCTCATATATAATAATGGCTACTGCAGCTGAACAGAGCACAATGTGTCTAACAAACAGCCACTTTGGATTTAGTCATGTGTGCACAATTTCATACTGGACATAAAGTTCAATATCTGGATGTAAAAGCCAAAATTTCAAAACTCACATATTGCACAAAACAGGGAGCAGTGAGCCATTTGAGATTCAGCCTTAGGAGTATCAGAGGTTTGATCTCATAGATGTTTAATATAGTACATGGATGGGCTGATAATGTTTTCAGCACTTTACCAACTTTTTTATGTTTAAGAAGGTTTAATATTAAACTTGGAGAAACTTTCAGTCATTACATGGTTTTGTTTAACTCTGAAATTCGGAGTTATCTGCTTTTGCCAAAGAACAATAAAATAATAAAAAAAAAGAATAACATTCATTTATAAGTTACCTGTATTTTATTGAGCTATTTTTACTTAATCAAAACAATCCAACAGCAGTTTGATTGATATTACCTGGAATGCCCAATAAAAAGAATGATGTATGAAAATTCAAAATGGAGATTTCTGTTTTTGCAAATTAACTCTTGAAATGATACAGTGATTAAGGCCAATCACAGTCATAAGGAAGTCTCAGAACAAATGGTGCACTGATTAGGACCAATCATAGTCAGGGGGAGGTCTCAGAACAAATGATGCACTGATTAGGACCAATCAAAGTCAGGGGGGAGGTCTCAGAACAAATGATGCAAAGATTAGGACCAATTACAGGCAGGGGAGGACTCAGATCAAACAATGCAGTGGTCAGGTTTTCTCTTCAGCTAGCACACATTGCAGTGTAGTTTTTGTTTGAGGTACTGCCAGCATAAGCTAAGTTCAGCTGGATTTTTGCCAACTGTCTAGAAAGCTTGTTCAACCTGACAGCAGTTGCTACGAAGGAACATTTGTAGGCAGAGGACGAATAGGTTAATTATATTTATATTTTTTAAGGTTTTAATAGCTTAAATTTTTGTTTGTTTTATTTTACTATAGAAATCATGATATATTGCCTATGAAGTCTTATGATATGTCTACATAATTACCTGTTTATGTCTCTCAACCCCCTGCAGATGCCCCTCGTGTGGAGATCAAGTATTCTCAAGCACTCCCACAGGAAGGACAGCCTTTAAAACTGGAGTGTGTGTCTAAAGGAAACCCCTCGTAAGTCTTTCACACCATCCCAGTCAACTGATTATGATTGAACAGAGCAGAGTGGGAATTACCCACCTTTAGTCTCCTTTGGAAGTTTTCTTTACCCCTCTCTGAGCCTTATGGATCAGCTATCTGAAATTTTATCCGCTAGGAAAGAACTGGTGGGACTGTATTGATTCTGAGTTAGTCTTTCTCTGTAATGGGAATCAAAATTTAGCAACCAAATTCAAACCAAATTTAATTTAGCACCAGTTTTTTTCTAATACATTATCACTATTATCTAATGACTATACAATCTCAAAAATAAAGGTTCCTAAGTGGTTTCTTAATGGCAAAAAAAATTAATTGGTATTAGACTTCTACATTATCTGGAGGTTCTTTAAACTTTAAAAAGGTTTTTTGTACTTACACTAAATCTAATTTACAAATATGGTTCTTTAAAGGACCATCCATTGATCCAATGTACACTCTTAAGAAAGATGGTTCTTGAAAAGTTCTTTAGTAAAGGAAATTCTATATAGAACATGTTTAATTTTTTTTTACATGGTGTACTTGCTCTTCGGATTGATAGACAATGTGTTGTATATGCTTCTACATAGAACCTTTTTGAAAATGGTTCTATATGACACCAAAAAGTGTTCTTCTGTTCTGTTGTTGACATCATAACAATAGCAGAACCCTTTTTAGTGCTATAAAGAACTATTTCACCATGCAAAGAACCATTTAAGCATGACTTTTTTAATATAAATTCATTTAAACTAAAGAACACTTGAAAACCATCTTTTTAAGAGTGTACTTAGAAGAAAGAGTTATTCTATGGAATCATTCCAAAGACCCTTTTGGCACCTTTATTTTTAAGAGTAAAGACTGAAATAAGTAAGGCTGGGTATCATCTATCAAAGTGGTTTGATTCTACTAGAACCAAATTATGTTGCACATTCTGATTCCTTATTTGATTGGTTGCCTGCATTTTTACTACAAAAAGGATTAGGTATTTTATTACAGCAAGTGTACTGTTTGTTTAACGTGCACAATCCGAACTGTGATGGAAATAATTTCTGTGCTAGATATCATTCAAGTTGCTCTGTTTTCAATTAACAGCTTCAAACTGTACATCTTATACTTCGTTGCTGTCGTTTTTCGGTTTTTGACATAATTTGAAAGTGCCTGTTGCTCTTCACATTGTGTGAAAATTTCATGAACAATTTACCAAAAGAAACAGCCCAAATTGGCTTGGATAAAAGTCTGGTTCCACAGACTAACATTAAAAGTAAAGCAGGTTTTTTCCTTTTACTGTAAAGTTAGCAATTTGGAGATACGAGGTTTTCTTCTGGCAACAGCGACTTGTTTTTTTTCCAAAAGCAGTCTGGCACAGCCAACAAAGCTGAATGTTTCTGTGATGTAATTCTTATTTAGCAAGCCAAAATATAACATTTTTATTTCACTAAATAAATATATCTAAACCATACACAGTCTTATGCAAACGTTTGGGCACCTCGGTCAAATTAAAACGTTTTTTCTTGGTAAATATTAAGTACACATCATCTACAGAGAACACATTTCTGCACATTCCAGTGAAAGGTTGCTGTTTATGTGCTGAGTTTAATTTGTATAAATATATAAAATGTGCCATCATTTGCCACAGGACATATTTTATGTTGTTTTTTTCCAATATATTAAATAAAATAAATAAACAGCAGTTGCTTACTTTCACAAAATCAACAAAGCATGAAATTTGACTGGGGTTGTTCAAACTTTTTCATAGTCTGTAATAAACAAAACATCTAACTATTGCATTGTGTTTAAAGCTCCTGTAGTTATTCTGTAAAACAGTACACATAACTTTTACTGTTTTTGGAACCATTTCAAGATATCATCAGTAGTATTGGTTTTAATGTCAAATGATACCCAACCCGAGTAGACATATCAGACACAAAGAGCTGCTTTCTTCCTGTTTTGCACGTCTACACTACCATTCGAAAGTTTGGAATCACCTTATTAGCAAACTATTCACTAAAAGGCTTTTTTAGGTGTTTTATTCAATATTTCAAGGATTCTGCAAACAACAAGTGAAAACATGATAAATTTATAAATAATATAAATAATTTTATCTATTTGCGTTCTTTTTTTTTTGGTCAAGTTATCTGCCTTTTGATTTAATCAGTACTTCTGAAATATGATACACTTTGTAAGTGCATTTTATCGTAACTTAATTCTGATGTTATACAGCTTGTGATTCGAAATTTTGAATGATACTATATTGTGTTACATGTGTGTGTGTGTGTGTGTGTATGTGTGTGTGTGTATCTCAGGCCAGACCCGGTGCTGTGGACGAAAGACGGAGGTGAACTGCCGGACCTGGACCGGATGATCGTAGAGGGCAGAGATCTCACCTTCACGTCTTTAAACAAAACAGACAATGGCACCTACCGCTGCGAAGCCAGCAATCACCTGGGCACCAACCACGCTGAATACGTGCTGTTTGTATACGGTGAGTGCCGCAGAGGAAGCGTTAACATGGCTAACAGAGCATGACCGCGTTAAAAAGCACCTGTCTCATGTACTGAAGTAGGTATTCTCACCCTGCTGGTGACTGCTGCTATATTGTCCCACCATTTAAAAAGCCCCATCTCGCGGTGTCAGTAAAGTAAATACATCACTAACGCTGCCGCCAGTATCTCTTTAAGATTTAATCATTTTCCTCTTTTGGAATCGATTGCAAAGTGACCTTCATGTGGCCCATGAAACCTGAATCTAAAGCCAGCTCAAGAAAAAAAAAAAGTTTACAGAGAGACCATCACTCCGAAAAACCCATTAAAACTTTTCAAAATATTGATGACCGCTCCAGACCCATGCAGTGAGAGAGATCACAGCTCAGTGGCCAGTGAGAGGCCATTTTTTTTGCACGTATGGAGCATGCTTAAAAAACTATTGATATATATAGTACGGTGCAAAAGTTATAGACCACACTTCATTTATTAAATCTACAGACAAAACGGCTATTAAATACAAGTTATTAATTTTTCAATGTCGGAAAAAAAGGAGAAACATTTATTTAACAGGAAATTTACACAGAATTCTCGACAACTAAATATAATATACTTTTCTTCAGTATTTAGAGTGTCCAATCTTTGCCTTTATTATAGCCTCCGTTCTGCAGGAATATTTCTCCACACCTTTAAAGTTCAGTCTTAGAAGTTGGTTGCATTTTATGTTTTTCATGCAATCCAAATAATCCCAAACACATTTAGTGATGTTGAGGTCTGGACTAGGGTGGTCAGCCCGTTGTTCTAAGAATGCCAGCAGCTTCTTTGTTTGCAGATAATCTTTCTGTGTTTTGCAGATTTCCTTCTTTTTTGACAGGACATTAAACAAATTAAGCACAGTACATTGCAGAGGCCATGCATACCAATGAGACACTCCATAATGGAGTTTCTGAATGTGAAATGCTCTAACATTTTTGAATCGCTTTGAACCAGAACCACAATCTGAGGTTAAACATTACTGTGAAATGGTAAAATTTCAGCTGTCTATTAATGCTAGCATTGTCTTTGAGCTCAAAATATTAGATGTGATGTTTATTTAAATATTAACTGTCATCAAACCTTGTTTTTGAGAAAAAGTGTACTGAGTGTTGCAGTACAGTTTTAGACAAATATAAACGAATGTTCAAATAAGTTAGAATATTTATTCAGACATAAGGCAACTAACACCTTTTTCTCTGCCAAGAGTGATAATACATATACACACACAAGCACACACTCCCACACACATGCAGACGTGCAAATGAAAAACAGGCACCAGTGACACGTAACAGCAGTGAAACGTTGTTATTGATAGGATGATATTGAGTAGTGACATTATTCAGCCAATTATGCAGTATCTTTTAGCAGAACGGTTGAGCATTTAAGGCTTTCTTTACTACAGCTTGTAATAAAAGAGAAGGTGGTTGAGACATTGACTTAACTCATTAGCAACATGTATGTCTCTGTCAGACTCATTCTTTTACAGTGGAACTCAGCTAGTCCACCAACAGCATCTTCAGGATCTGAAGCTGGAAATCTGGAAAAAGATCAAATATGCAACACACTATCCATAATCACAGTATTTGTAAATATCATATTATTTACCATTCTTATATTCCTTGGTTTATGAGTTAAGTAATTTATTAATTAAAATAATGGTTGCAAAACTATATTTATTATTTAGTATCCCATGATTTAATATCTAAAATTAACATCATATGAAAGCTGAGACTTTGACCAGATTTGATCAGACACTATTAAAACCCCAATAAAACAGCCCAGAAAAAAGATTTACTCTTAAATCTGGTTTCCACACAAAAGGCCATTGCAAATTCTGACTCAGAACCAATAAACCTTTAAAAAATAAAAGTGCCTAAACTTTTTTGACATGATGCCAAAGCAGAACCACTTTTGATTCCCTGAAGAATCTTTCAATGGAATGAAATTCACTGATATTTTAAAATTTCTGCATAATTTTGTCATTAAGTTGTAAACAAAGTCATTCGGAGTGGTTTGATGTCAAATGCCTGATTCTAGAGGAACTCACTGACTTAGATTACATTCAGATTAGATTTGATTTCTTTACAATGGTGGGGATGGGAACCAGGGGTCACAATGTCCACAACACAAAAGTAGCCCATTTATATAACATTGATAATGAACACTGAACCTACACGTGTCTTCTGAGTTCTGTCTGGTTCCTGTCACCACCACTATGAACAGTAACCTTCACCAACGCTATGAACACCTTGAAATGGAGCAGTTCAAATTAAACCCCTCTGAATAGCTTTGTATGCATCTTAACTATTTAATTACAAATACATTTTAAAGCATCAGTTGAATTCCCCTTCAAAGACCCTTTTAGAAAGAACCTTTAAACGTTTAAAAGTTTGTCCTGGAACCAATCATCCAAGCAAAAACCGTTTAGGAACCTTTATTCATTTTTAGGAGTGTAGAGCGCTCACAAATTTGTGACCCATCTGTTTGGAAAACAGCTTTACGTGCAATGGTTCTCTAAAAGGACAGGAAACTCGAGGATCTCCTGCTGAGTTTGTGCAAAAGCAGCAGAATGGCTTCTCCAGCACTGACACTGCAGCATGGATGCTCTAGCGGTCCGCCAGCCGTGTGCAGCCACATCTGCCGACTCTATCAGCAGAAGCAGCTGCATTGCAATGGTCAGTAGCATAAAGCGGAAACGGTAGAAAACACTTTTCCATCCCTGCTGCTGCCTCCATCACGCAGCACACCCTCGAGCCTGCAGGCTGGAGAGCAGTTTGGTTTGCTGGAACTGTTCCAACTCCAACACTTGCTTTTCTGCTCTTTCCTTTCTCTCGCAGAGAGGTTCTGGGGAAGATTTAATGAGCATGCGGAGTACAGTGTAGAGGTCCGGACTGGGGCCCTTCGAAATGTCAGGCCACTGTAAGGACATGGATAACCAAAGCTTTTAATGATGTTGATGCCACAAAGCTGACAACTTCCTGTGAGAATAATAAGCTAATTGGGTGTCACAAATATAGAGCACCTTGTCTGGATTCATTACTGTCCTTTCAACTGGCACAACAAGTGCACCCACTGCCTTTCATCAATGATTAGCACACAAGCAGTACTGTACAAAAGCTTCCGGCACTCATATGTCGCAGCTTCTTTTTTTATGAGGCCTGTTAAAAATGCATAGCGGTCAGAAGTGGGTAGTACCCGCTTAAATTTACTCAGTTACATTTACTTAACAAGAATTCTGATGGATTCCTGAGTATTTTCAAATCATAATACTTTTACTTGTATGCAAGTATAGTTGTTAGGAAAGTAAGCTATTTTTACTCTGTTACAAATTAATTATTAACCATACTGATTCCTTTTTTTGTGTTCACGTTCTTTAGGTTACATTGCTGACAGCTTCTGTACTACTTTGCCATTGGTCACACCTCTGACTGTTGAGGGTTATCATATTATTTTAGGCCAAAAGTGGATCAAAAAGAGACTAACAGAGCTTAGTAAACTTTTCTATGCTAATGGCTGCAAAATGTACAGAAAAGTTACATTTAAGTGCTTAACATTTCTTTTGTGCTGGTGACAGCATCTGTACAGCTTTACAGTTGGTCAGACCTCTGACTTTTGAGGATCATCATTATATTTTACACAAATAGAAGAGAAGCTACAGCTAACAAACTTCAGTTTCCATGCTAATAGATGGTGCATTAGGTTCTATTTCTATTTGGTTCTACTCAATTTAGCTTTTCTCCCTGCTGCTTCTACTCAGGTTGTTTTCTATAAAGTTTCTTTTACTTTTACCTGACTTTTTCACCGAGGTAAAGATAGTTCAGGCTACTCTTCCCACCTCTGATGGTTATGTGCTACATATGTCCCCAAGCACTCAACATTTCAAGCTATGGAGGCTCATGAGTGAAGGCCAGTCCGTAATGTGTTTGCATTACACACTTAATTAAACCTGGGCCATGAAATTCTCAATCTACCAGAGCGCTCCATCTATTTAGCAAAGCAAAAAAGTAATTATCTGCTGTTGTACCACTGAAGCATTTACTGTAACAAATGTCTCACGTAGCCAGGCTGTGAACGAGCCATTTTGTTTTCCAAAGACAGATTACGATAATGACTTTCACTTCAAAGAATACACTTCTTTTTCCATGGCCAATGCTTATGTAAGCCAGTAATGAAAGCGGTCATACTCTTGTCTTCAATAATAATAATAATCATAATAATTCAATAATAATTCTTTAGTCATAATTGCTTGTGCATTGTAATAAATTGTAAACATATTGTGAACATATTCTGCTCATCTAACGTTCCATTTGGGCAAAATAAGGCTTGTTGCCTTCCTGTGTTCGCTGCAGCAGTGGCGGAGGAACATGAGAAGTGTCGGAGGGGCTTTGCTTCAACAGGCTGAGCGTGGGGCGCGTGCCTTTGAGCTCATTAGAGAGAGAGCAGCCTGCCGATTCACCTTATCAGCCTCAACCCAACTTTACTCCTCAGCCTTTATCGCAGGGCTAAACGCGCTTTATGCATTTCTAATGATCGTGCGGCCCGGCTGAGACAGGCTGCCGAGGTGGATTTGGGATTAAAGAAAAGCTTGAATGTGACCTGCCATTTAAAAAAGCCTGAATAGCTCGATTCAAGTTACAGCACATGGTGATGTTCGGTTAAAGCTGATTGGCATGAACTTTGCTCTGACTTTGCTCATGAATTTTCAAATGGCAGGTAGCAGATGGACCGCGGGCTGACTTTGGCCTGCTCTTGCCACTGATTCTGCCCAGAGATGGATAGTAACTAGGTGCATGTCCTTAGTTATATGTACTCGATACACGCTTAAAAAAGATGGTTCTCCAAGGGTTCTATAGTAAAGAAAATGGTTCTATATAGAAATATGGACACTCAGAGAACCCTTTGCATGATAAAAAGGGTTCTTTGCTTTGTTAAAGGGTTCTTCATATTGATGGGGAATGTGTTTCATATGGTTCTATATCGAAACCTTTTTAAAAAGCGTTCTATATAGCACCAAAACGTTCTTCTGTGGCAGGCTTGAAATTGTAACAAAAGAAGAACCCTTTTTGGTGCGACATAGAATCCTTTTCTATTCTAAGATTCTATATAGAACCATCCACAGCACATTCTCCATCAATTTGACAAACTCTATAACAATGTAATGGACCCTTTAATCATGCAAAGGCTTCTTTGAGTGTTCATGGTTCTAAATAGAACCATGAACATTTTCTTTACTATAGAACCCTGGAAAAAATAAAATTCAGAGTGTACACATTTGCTGGGTTTATACTTCTCTGAGTGTTTTCGAATCATAATCCTTTTATGTCTGTTTAAGTACAATAAGTTTCATAATGTTAATTGACAATAATTGTGACATGTTTATATCTGAAAAAGATATTTTTGATAAGAGTATTTAGATGCAAAAACCTTGACCAGACATTGACTTACTCACTCTACTTGAGTGTGAGTGAGTGCGAGTTCACACATTATGAGATTGAGCTAATTAACCACAAAGATGTTTTTTGCTCATCTCTTCTAAGAGTGCCAGTTATTATGGAGCTCTGAGGAAAGGAATCCATTTTACTCAGTTACTTTTAAATCAGGAACATTTTGTTCTTAATTTCATTTTTAATGTTTTTAATGATTCATTTCATCATGCTACAGCAGCTACATTACTGTGAAATTGGTCACACTGCTGACTTTTGAGGTTTATTATTTTATTTTTAACCGAAGTACATCAAAATGAAAAGAATAGCACATAACTTCAGTTCCTATGCTGATAGATGTGAGATTTAATAATACATTTGGCTGGAGTTCCAAATGTTACTCAGTACTTTAGTTTTACCTGCCACTTTTGAACGTCTACATCTACTTATAATCAGTTGCTTTTGCAGTTGTTTTTAGAAAGGTACTTTTACTTTAGTCCTTATTTCAAGGAATAGTAAAAACTATCTCCGGTTCTGTCATTCAGGAGCTTATTAGGTCATTTATATGACATTTAAACATGTGAATTTAGTTTATTGGATCATATTCATACAGGTCATAATTACCTACATGTCAAAATGTAGGAAATATTTACAACATTTCTGCACATCGTTTGCTTTTTCACATATTTTCAACTGTATGTTTTCCACAGTCCTGAGGTTTGTTGCACTAATGAGAATAACATATAAGGAGTTTGTGAGGTTTTAATGAATATTTGTTTATATCATTTTTTTATGATTGTTTAATAATTCATTATTTTTTAATATTCTACATTAATCCCATCCCATTTAAATTTGCGTTGAGTTCAATAGGAAGTATGTCATCCCTGTCATAAAGCTTCAGATCTTTAAATCTGTAATTTCATAGCAAAATTCTTAATTTGAATGTATGTAAATGTAATGCTATTTTTAGACTATTTCTATTTCTGTTGATTCATTTGTCACGAAATGTTCACACAACTTAAAAGCTCATATTTTTAGAAAGTGTAAAAAATGTAAAAGTGTAAAAAATAAAAATACTAATTGAAAAAAGTTATGAGGTTTTGATATGACAGTGATGATATATGTTGTTCCATTGCTATCTTGATGTATATTTTTTTTGCCTTTGTTGTTGTGTTTGCGTCCATGTGTGTTTGTTTGTTTGTGTGTCCCATTGACCAGACGCCCCTACCACGCCCTCTCCATCCACAACACCTCCCCCTGTAGCCACCCTCCCAGACACCACAGACCCCCTAGACTCCAAGCACTCCGACCCTGCAGTGACCGGTCAGAGAGGTACAGTAAGCCCACCACCCTTCCTCCTGCTCCTCTTTCTCACATGCAACTCTCACTGTCCTTCTCCTTCTACCTGGATGACCTCCCTCTCTCTCACTGTCCCCATCAGCCCGTTTTTTCAAAATCTCTGCACAGTTCCATTGTTGAGATGTAAGCAAAGTCGCTCAGAGAGGTTTAATGTGAAGTGTAAGGAAACTTATCCACTCACATATCTTTACTATGGTGATGTCTACCTGGGTCTCAGTTGTCTTCAATATGAATATATACATTTTATTTGTTCTCCAAAATAACTAGTGTGTCTCTCCACCCTGAATGCATTATAAAAAAGTGTTTTAGGCCAAAATACTAACTCAAAACTATTGTAAACAATGTCTTAGAGACCAGCCAACATATTCTGATATTTTGTATTATATCTTTCTGTGAAGGGGCTTGTAAAAGCCTGAAACTCTTTAGATGTCTGCTTCCTATCACCTCCACTGTGAGTCTAAAATGGAGCAATGGAGGCTCTTCACTACACCTCACGTTCGACCCAGGCGGCCCGAGCTGCCGAGCTGCGGGGAGGCGGAGCGGCGAGCTCTTCTCCCTCGGGTTTCGGCACCACTGTTGCACGGCATGTGCCACCCCAGGCTCAAGGAGGACGCTGGAGGCAGGGTTCAGTGTTGCAGCAGCCGTATTTTATTTCACAAATAAACACAAAGCAAACAAAACCAAACAATCTAAGCTCTGCTAAGCTGTCCACTTTTCAGTGGCTTTCAACTAACTAGACTTTTCAGTCCTTTTACTCAAGCTTTTCAGCTCTTCAGTTCGCTGCTGCTGCTTGTCCCTCTCTCTCTCTCTCTCTCTGTTCCCTCTCAGCTCTTTTAAAAGGCGCTCATGAGGGAACGAGAGCTCGCCGCTCCGCCTCCCCGTCACCGCCCCCAGCTTGCAGCTCGGCCGCCTGGGTCGAACGTGAGGTATAGTGAAGCGGCCTCACTGCGTTCCAGGGGGTGGGGCTCGGGCGGCGGACCTCGGGACTTGCTTGTGCCTCTTGTGGCCGGCACCGTCGTCCTCCTCCTCCCGCCATCACTCGCGTGACTGGCGTCCCTCGGTGGAGCTCGGGCTTTGTGCTCCACCCCTCCACACTCACGGCTCCCTCCCATCTTACTTTTAACTCAGCCCTCATGATGTCCAAATTAGTTTATTATATTACATGTTAATGGAGCTAGCTGGCTAGTTTACTTCACGTGAGCATGGTGTAAGCTGTGTTGTAGCTTGATTAGCTAGCTGTCAAAGCTAACTGTGCTAAAGTAAGCCAGTAAATCATTAGCCTCCTCCCCTGCTAACTGTGGCTCTGCTTCCATCCATATTCCAGTTTAACCCCTGGATTCAACCATCCCTGAACCTCTGACTCTTCTACATCCACCTTTGAGTCTTGTAAGAAGGTTCATGTTTTGTGTACTGTTCTGTTTACATGGGGTTGTACCTGTTCCCAGGGGCCCGTGTTCCCAGAGCCATTTATTTATTCATTTAAATGTCTAGGAAAAAGCCATATATTCCCAGGGCCCTGTGTTCACTCAATGTAATTTTCTAGGAAACAACTCTGTGTTCGCATGGGCCCATGTTTCAGCCTCATTTTGCCTCAGTGACATTTCCTCGAAAAACTTTCCATGGAAATAAGACCTAACATCCATACCTCTGATATATTTTTGAACTTACATTTTCTGATGTTCTGAATAGTGACTAAGGTTATGTATGCTATGCTCTGACTTCTCAAAAATAACGTTACAAGGCTTCTCTATAATATAATATATACATGTATATATAATAATATAAAGAGCGTACTTAAATAAGGCATTTTGATGCACATTTTAGTTCACAATTTCTATTCACTTTCTGAGTTTCAACATATTGATAGACAATAAAACATAAAATATAAAATGTGCCATAACTTTTGCACAGGCCACAGTCTGTTTTATTGTTTCCAGTCTGTTAAATTCACTTAGAAAATCAACAAAACGTATCATTTGACCAGGGGTGTCCAAACTTCTGCATACTACTGTAGGTACACTTTCATTCACATGGCTAGTCCAGGTGCTCGCAGCTAACTTAATTTATGGACGTTCACAATCCTCACACAATCAAACGCTACTGCATATTTGCAATCAATCATTTTGTCCCACATAATTATCAGACCAAAACATTTACTTCTCAGTACTGGAAGCAACTACAGTATGATGGTGTTGATGGCCTCCTGAGGGAATGAGAATGTGCCTGTGCACTGATTAGAGGTTAGTGACTTTGGCTTGGCTCTGTTACATGTTTTCAGCCCTACAAGAACAGTTTTTTAACTATTGGAGCCCAAAGTGGTTCTACTATGGCACAGATTCCGGGTTCTGGAGTATCTTCTACCCTGCATATGTTTTCCTACTCTAATACACCCACTTCAGCTCAGGAAAGGCATGTTAATTAGCTGATTAGTTGGATCAGGTGTGTTGGAGCAGGGCAAACATTAAAATATGTAGGACTAGGGAGTTCCATGACCAGGATTGGGAACCGCTGTTCACTCCAAAGAACACTTTTTGCCAACTTTTATTTTTGAGAGTGTACCTCAACCCTCACACGTGCATCTCAACTAGGAGTCTCATTTGGAAATGAGGTGACCATTCTTGAAATGGTCCCAAAGCTGCCCGGTTCTGTTTTGTTTCTTGCTTCTTTAGGCCTTGTACCTGTGCTAGATAATTGATGTGATTGATAATATGTATCAGGCATTACATGTTCTCCCTTCAGCCTCTGCGTAAGGTTGTTTGAAAGTCTATCGATTTATTATGCAGCGCAGAAGACGCAGCACAGCATGAAGAGCGGCATCCAACTAGCCCTCAAACTCATTTGGCAACTGCTTTGCATCAGACTGCAAGTGCACATACTGTAAGGAATTAGCTTGAGCAGCTGATGTTACATCAGTTAGTTTTAACTTATCTCTATCTGTGCTGTTGTCAAATTAAGCAGAAGTTCAACTGTGCTTGAAGAAAACCTTTCACAAGCATCTTATAGAATTATAGTTATTTTCTTCAGTCTGCCACTTGCCGGTCCCGCATTGCAGAACAGCTCTTTGTGGCTCTCATAGCACGGAAGGTCTGGAGTGTTAACAGCACTTATTTCCTCCGATGCATTAGTTGCCCATCTCGGTGCCTGCGATCAATGGGGGGATTTCAGCAGCGGGCAGCCGGGGCTTAATGAGCATAATAACTCTTCCCCACAGAAGCGCAGGGCCCAGACGATGTCATCAGAGTGGCTCCCATCCCCGTTAAATCTGCCAAGTGCATTTTTATGGCTTGCAAATTAGCCGTGACCTTATGAAGCTGAAAGGTTGAATAAAGTACTTGGGCTTCGGAGAATTTTTTAAATATTTACAGCTCACTTTTCATAATCAGCTCGCATGTCCGCCCTGTCTCGGACCCCCAGGCTGTTATCATCCCACCGAGGCACTTCCACAGACACAGTGATTGGTCATGCCTTTTGTCTCAGGATGGGCAGAAAAGAACGTGGAAATCCATCTCGTTCAGAAAGGGTTCGATTTGGGTTCATTAGCCGGGGACTGGAATAATAGGACAGAAAATATGGAAGAAAAACAAAACAGAAATTCGGAAGAGCTTTAATTGCCACCAAACTTTTTTCAAATTGTCAAACTTTGGCTATGTTTTTTTTTTTTACTAATGCCATGCATAACTGTAGAAGAACTTGTGAAACCACAGCACTGGTTGTTTTAATGGATTCACAGACTGTGCGTAATAGCGAAATGACAATTCTAATATAGCACAAAACTTTAATAGCATCGTATTAAATCAAACAGGCTTAAGTTGGTCGGTGTCCAGTTTCTAAATAGGGCTCTTGCAGGCTATTTAGAAACATATGTATCTTCATGCATTGAGCAGACATCCAGTGTGCACAGCATGGCCGCTCCACGGGGGTGTAATAGGCAAACACAGGCCGACAGCTGTGGGCTGGACGCGGCCTTGTTCATGGGCTCTGGTCCCAGCGAGACACGAACAAATGAGGAATCCTCCCAGTGCCATTTTTGCAAGTTCCAGCGCTTTGCTCCTGGGCAGCTGGCACAATGGGAGAGCTTTGTCAATCCAATTAGAGCTTTGTTGATCCAATGAGGGCTTTACATGTTGCCTACCGTCCTCGTTCTGCTTTTCTGAGCTATCTCTGGAGCTCAGGTGAGCACTTTACATATGCATGGGCCCGCAATGGGCTGCTTTACAAAGCTCTCATGCACAGTGGTCTGAGAATGAGGACTAGGGTTTGGCGGAGGCTTTTGCATTTAAACTTGATGAGCTTGGCCCTTATTCCATGGGTTTGAGTCATTTCTCAACAAGCACGCAAGACTTCCTAAAGGAAATGGAAGCGGTCAGGTAACTCCAGGAATGTCTCTGAAAATGTAATAATTTTATCTTCAGTAAAGATTTAAGGATTCTTAACTATGTATTTCCAGCGATATTGATTCAGCTCCGGTTTCCCTGTGCTGCTGATAGAAGGGCAGAAGAAAGTGCTGCGATGAAGGAAAAAATGGCCCCTCTGAGGTTCCGCCAAAGGACAGCTGCAAAAAAAGCTTTGTTTGAAACAGGGGTGAAGGCAAAGTTTGCAGCAGTGTCCCTCCAGGCCAGGTTAAATATTGAGACAGCCATACTGAGTGCCCTCAGTTCCAAACCCACCAGAGTACCGGGGGATTTAAAATGCAATGCAAAGGTCCTCGTTGTGTCAGACAGCACCATTATTGATGATCTATCACATTAATGCACATCGCTGCAAGAATTATAGCAACAATTTAAAATAAGGCAAAGGACAAAAAAGAAAAATCATTAAATTCTGCAGGCGTGTATGAATTACGAATAATAGTCCCTCCATTCATTATGTTTTAATAGTAAGAGACACTTTAAGTAATTCTCTGGAATGGACCCTTCTGCTCTCTCCATTTTACAGTGCCTGATCTTGTTAAGAATTTGACAGCGTAATTTAGA